ATTTATTCATAGTGAGATTATTCCAGTGGACAGGGTTTGTTGAAGACTTATGTTTTTAAGTAGTTTTTTTCCTTTTCTTCCTTTTCCCACTGACATTATCATCTTAATAGACAGCAGAAACATCCCTTTTCAGCTTTCCTTTTTACCAGCCTCAACAAACCAAAATCTCAGATTGTTTTTTCCCATGTTCCCTCTTTCTCTTGTTTAACACTGAGTGGTCTCATCAGCGAACAACAGTAACACTCACGCAGTCTTAGAGCTCTTCTGACAAATGCTTCACCAGATACCTGTGGAGATCATATTAACCCCCTTACCCCACTGGCTATGGTGGCATTGGTAACCAGGCATCCTCTGGCTGAGGATGCTCAAGGCTTTCTTCTCTTCAGACATTTCCAGCTGAAGAGTTCCCCATTTACAGCAGAATTTCTCATAGTTGATGTAATTGATTGTTAACATTGTGTTATACTTACCACATTTCTGCTATTTGGGTCATAAAGGTCATCCTTCTATGTGATGCCTCAGACTGTTCATTTTTACTGAGTTTGTTAAAATTACTGAATTTTAACCCATTTTCATTTGCCTTGCTTGAGACTAAATCAACAACTAAGATTCTAATTATGTACCACTGTAACCAACTCAGCCTGAGGAATCAGCAATGTCTATTTGTAAATTCATGCATATGTTTGTGTGCCTAACCCTCTAGCCCCATATTTTATGCATACTCAGAATAAGATGCCATCAAAAATGACAAAAGATTATTTAATGACCCATTCAGCTATAATGCTTATCTAAATGAAACACTGTGTAAAATAAATTAGTTTGCTAAAGAAAATGAAGCATATTTTACCTTTTACTAAATATTGCATTTACTCTACAAATTAATCACATTTCTCAAGGTTGATGGATAAAGTAAAATCCCTTCTCCTGTTAGCACCAAGGCCCTGTATTGGAAGGTACACACAGATAGCTTCTACACCAGCTTATTTTTATTTGTGGAATGATTCCTGACTTGATGAAAAAAGGCACTTGTGACCACAGCATATATGCATACAGTTATTTTTTTAGTGTGCTTTCTACAATTTCTTTCTTTCATGGTGTGTTTTCCATCAAGTGTTTATGAAGAGTAAATGCAGACCCTGTGAAGGGTAAAGTGAAGTGGCAGGTAGTGTGATGCTTTCTATGTTCTTGTTTGAAACATATCTGCACAAACAGAGAATTAGGACTTCTGAAAGAACACTGAACTTGAGGCCTCTTATCAGCAAGGGTTTTCATTGTAAAGAGAGCCAAGAGACTATTCTCAGTTGTCTTGGCTCACAGTTACCTCAAAATACTCATATCTTGAGAAATTCTTTGCCAGTGTTGTGGGGTGTTCAGTTGGGTTATTTTTCATTTGTTTTTTCATAGCGCCCTATGGTTTGAGAGAGGATTTTCCTCATTTCCTGCATCTTGTATTGCCTAGAAAATATGTAATCTGAATAGACATAAAGATTTCTGTTATTCAAATGTCAGGGCTTGAACTAAAATAAGTATTAGACTTGCTTTTACTTCTGCTTTTGTGTCTTTAGAGAGTGCTATTAGGAGGTGTCCGATGCTTGCAATACCTTGTACTCCAAAAGCATACTTCCATAATGACATGTGCTTCATTCCCATGAAAACAATTCATATTTAAATGCTTAGGTAACTTGTCGAGTATGTACCTTCATTCATTTATGCCTCACCTCACAAAAATTGGAGATGTGTAGATGTGTAAGAATATATTTTTTTTTTTGTTACTCTGTGGAAGTCAAATCATCCTGTGTCATCTCAAAAAGTGTAATTATATTTCTATGAAAAATATCTTTCAAAAAGAACACCAACCCTACAAACGACAAAGTAATGGCTACATTTTTATTTTCTTGGACTGATAATGTCTGCATCTCTAAGCACTGGTTTGACAGTGTGCAAGAGGGTGAAACACATTTCTAGGTAGAGTTTTGCTTTGATGTTCTTCAATGGTCACAGTGGGCAATGTTGAATTTTGATGCTTTGCATTAGTTTTTTCAAAGCAAAAGCAAAAAGAGGAGACAGAAATTTCTGAGGCAAAACCACATTGAAAGACAAAATGCAGGTTTACACTATTAGCAAGAGGTGGAAATCTGGTCCAAGAGAACTGAACTTTAAATTACATCAAAAACACCCAAAAGAGAATTAAATAGCTTTCTCATTCCACTTTTATTTGAGACTTGCACTGAAAGCATGCATGTTTTCTTGGATTAGTGTTAGTTTGGAAAATATCCTAGTTCTAAGCTGTTTGATGTGACTTCTCTGAGAGATGACTATCTGATTTTTCATGCTTCTCAGGATTCTACAGCCAAAACAGGACTTTATCATCATACAAGGCTTTATGTCCTAGCAGTCATGCATATGAATATTTCTGTTCACCATGGGAATGTCAGAAGGATCTCACAGATGCCTCTTGAAGTGTTAAAGCTGTTGAAAACCAGAGCTGCTCCTGGGCTGTCATGGACAAGCCAGCTGGGTGCCCTCTTTGTTGTGTCCAGCCCCCATCTCTGGGCAGTCAGACCTCAGCACTGACTTTTCCTGCCTCCTCCTAAGTGTGGGCTCTGCCGGAGCAACTCTGGCACCTTTAAGCAGCTAAACAGTCAACAGATGTGGGGTGAGTTGCAGGCAAGGAATAAGAAACCTACTGGAGACAGATGAAATTCCCTAAATCTCTCTCCCCAGAGACAAAGGAGGATGGTGCAAGTGTTTTCCAGACTAATGGAAAAACTCAGATTTACAACAGAGGATGTGGAGAATACAAAAAGGTAGTAAAATGCCATCTCTTGCACAGTAAGAAAGCAGCATAGAAAATAAGATGAATTATTTATTTCTGTATTTAAGCACTTGGAAGGGATGCAGACAAAAGCAGTGTGAGGCCATTTAGACTGAAGGATTCTCATATGAGGAAAGGCATCACAATCATGTCCAGAGGAAAAATGATAAGAACAACTTGTAAATGGTACATAGTACAATAATGAATGAAACAAAAAGCTGCTTCTTTGAAAACAGATTGATAATGACGTTATGTCAGTCCAGAGTCCTACATTAACTCATGCATATGCTTAATTTAGATGGATGGGATAATTCATGTGATGACCCCAGTGATTATTATGTAAATTTTAGTGGGATTGAGTCATACTAAATTTGCAAATCAAAGTACTGCTCAGAAATGTTATCTGATTTCCAGGTATTAAGTCTAAAAACTCCATTAATTGTTCAGAAGTAGGTAGCAAGTGTACATTTATCAGATGAAAAAGCTAAAATCTACAATCTGTGAAGTTTAAACAAAACAATCCAATTTTAGGAAAGTTATTACATGCCCATGGGAAGAAAATATTGTCTTGTCCTTATATACAGCCTATCCAAGGTCGCTGCAGTAAAGGCTGCTGCAGATTCATAGTTTTAATTAAGCAGTAGCAAAATTTAGACATAGAGTCTAAATAACAGAACTTCATGGTAATAAAAAGAGATACTTTATTTTTTTTTCCTGAGAACATAAAGCCCCATGATTTTATATGTCTTCTACTTAGGAAAATGTATTTTTGTAATATAGGCAATTATAAATAAATTTTATTCAGTTCTTGCTTTACAGGGAACAAACTCATTGCAAAAGATCATAATAATAAAAACCCCTTTTTAAACTGAGTCCACTTAAGTAAGAATAATTTTTTCATAGAGAGGAAACAAACTCAGTTGCCATACAGCTGGTTAGAGTACATTTTTAATACAAACACTTCAAGCTGCCTTGCAGTAAAATAAACATTGAAGTTAATATCACTCCCCACCACCTGCTTCAGAAATTTTTCCTTACATTTGAGAACAGTGTACTGAGAAGATACCCAGAGGGCTAGGGAAAGGAGTTGCCCAGGTGCTTGGGCACTCAGCAGCAAAGTTCTGCCTCTGTGAAATATACAATGAGTTCACAAGACTTGACCATCAACAGATTATTTTTTCTAAATGTAATTCGAGTTTTGTGGTTTTGCTTGGGTCTTTTTTCAGCTCTGAGTTTGTGCAAAGATGCGTGGCTCCCTGCATGATTTAAGTGACAGGGATGATTTACAGTGGTATGGGATAGGGAAGTGCTGCCGTGTGGGTGGTGAGAAAGATCTGCACTGGCTAAGTGCCCTGCATGGCAGCTCCCCATAGGATCCTGAAGAAGCTGCTCAGGGCCTTTGGCACAGAAGTGTGGGAGGATCTGCATGTGGGGTGCACCATGGGGTCTGGGAAGGGCTGGTGAACCATTCGCCAGTAGCCCAGAAATAAATGGCTGCCCAGATGTGTCATGTGTGAGTCCTGCCGGGACATTGGGGTGCCACTGATGTGCCAAGGTAGGACAGCAGGGAAATAACACACTGGAAGGGGAGGAAGAGATACAGGTGCTGCTGGTGTGAGCTGAGAAGCTGGTGATGTGGCAGGCAGTATCCCAGCCATCCATTCCCCTCTTCTCTGGCTATGACTTTGTAAGTGGCTCTGTATGAAACCCAGATGTAATTACATAGAGTGACAATGGTGTTTTCTCATTGGAAAAGTGCCTGTGTTTTCATTTTAGCTGGGGTCCTTGCTCTGTAATTGCCTGTAAACACTCTATCGGTTATAAGAGCCAGATGGTGCAGTAGATGGCTTTCAGTGACTCCTGAAAAATAGAGAAGACTCTGACTAGACACCATTTACACTTTTTTTTCTTTCTGTTTGGAGCACATAGATTACAGCTGCTTTAAACAGAGAGTCAAGATAAAACCTCACAACAGAGGCATGCAAACCTCTCACACTGAGATTGCCACTGGAGTGTGCATTGATGAGGCTGCAGTGCCCACCCAAAACGTGTGCTGTAAGATGCACAGGAGCACAAGGTGCAGGCTCTTGCCAGTCAGTGTCCATCCACTTCATGGTGCACAGGGCTTGGGGGGGACCTCTGTTTTCCTCTGTACAGGTGCCAGTGTGGCTTTGCAGAACACTGTCTGTGCTAGATGTATTCTGGTTTCGACAGGACCTGCATCTCCTGCCCTCCATCGCTCCTTTCCCTGAAAGTTCCCCCCAGCCTTTGAGTTCTTCTTTCCCTACAAAAAAACAAAAACAAAAACAAAAACAAAAACAAAAACAAAAACAAAAAACAAAACAAAACGAAAAAAAACACCAGTCAGAATTAAAGGAGTCAAAAATCGTTAATTTAGGGACTGTGTTTATGTGTTCTCTCCCTTCTTAGGGGTAGTCAGAGTGACAGAAAAGGAGCAATACTCAGAAGGGGGGCAGAGGCTGTTGCTGAAGAAGCAGTAGATAAGAGGGTTGACGGCGCTGTTCAAGGCTGGCAGGTTCTGAATAATCACAGATGCGTAGAAGCGCTCTTTGGTCTCAGGCAGTATGTTGAAGTTGTCCAGGATATCAAACAGAAAGTAAGGGCTCCAACAGAGAATAAATGCTGCAGATGAGACAGAGAGAGGACGAGCTTGACATGGGATAGTTTAGCAATTTAGGGAGGTAATTACACACTCATGGAGCAACTGTCATAACACATAAATATTTGTTCATGCAAAAAAAAACCCCAAACTTCTTCCCATTCAGTATCTTATTTAAGAGAATAGTTATTAGATGGTGCTTTTATTTGTCTTTATTTTTATTTTAATGCCTATAAAATATATTACGTGTGTTTCTCTAAGTGCTTAGAGTGCTCCCTCTAGACATATTGAGACACTTCTGAACACTACACAACACATAAAGGGTAAATAGGTAGCCAGTTAAAGCATCATCAGTTATAGTGAAGTGCTCTTTTAATGGTCCCCGGAGTGAGCAGCCAATCTAAATGTACACACAGCCAAAGTGCTGCTCCGTGACAGCGCTGCCTGTCACAACCACCTATTAAAATAAGGTTCTCAGACACCCAGGAGCAAGGAATGACACTCTTTCACACTGCATTATGGCAAACCAACATGCCACTTGGCATGCTGGATGGAAATGCTGTGTACATGGAGTGTGCAGGAAGATTCTCCTAATTTCCTGTGCTGCTATTTGAGAGATGAATTTGAGGAAGGGAAGAGAGGACTGTACTGCTCATAGCCTCTGCTTTTGTTCAGAGCTGGCAGAGAAAAAAGGTTAGCCATGGATCTAGCTTTATTTGCAGGCATAGGGAATAAATCTGTCTCTTCTCACAAAGGCTTTTGAGTCAGGATTTGCATAGAAATGCTGGGACAGGCAGTTCACTCGAATAAGCTATAAGTACCTGGGCTGCAAACATACAGGTAATTGTGAAATCAGACACATGATGACATCCTGACCCAGATGAGACAGCAGAGTAATCCTGTGCCTGTTTTCTTGTCTCATTAATCAGAATTTCTTTGCTGGCAGCGAGCTGAGTGCTCACTAAAAGTGCAAGGAAGAGGTAAGCTCCCCTTCTGTTTTTTAGAACAACCAAACAGGAAGTGTCTATGCATAGATATATGCAAAATAGCAATACACAGTGCCAGAGTGTGGATCATAGCACTCACTATGCAGAAATTTAAGTGGCTTAAAAAAAATCCATGGATGTTAGGTGTCAATCTGTTTGCACATCAAGAGAGGCTGGCTGCCTAATATTATCAAGGTCTGCTGAAATACTTGAGCATCCGTGTGAGTTCTCAATATCTGATGGCCTTGCAATAGTAGTTGTGTCTGCCAAAAGCTTTCTCTGATTGCCACGCAGAAAAGTTCAGACACAGAGAAGCTGTTCTTGGGCTTCTGAAAAGTATGAATCTGGCCTCTCTCACGTCTGCAGATGCTGCCACTAGACAGGGAGCTAAGCTAGTCAAGTGGCTGTTATCACAATATTCTCCAATCTGAATTTTGCACAGTGTTGGAAAGAGAGGCAATCTCTTTTTCAGTGTCAAGGGATGACTGTCAGCCCTTGGGAGTAAACAGCTTTGGTTCCTTTCCTACATGTCTGTGGCAGCTAATCACAACCTCTGTGTGATGCTGCCTTTATTTATTGAGATAGAATATCAGCCTCCTAATTGCATCAGAATAATGTAATTTCCCTGGGAGACAGAGAACACCTGCACTAAGTCATCTGCTGCCCAGTTGGGAAAGGAGAGCTCATTCTTTCCATCTCGGCAGGCAATACACCTGTGACATCAAATACAATTGCTGCACATCTCACCTTTCTTCTCTCCCTTGCACAACCCCAGCAGCTCACAGGCCATACAGTGTCTCTAAGCCTAAAAGACAACTCAGTTGCCAAATCTTTTGGCAGTCTGGATAGGAAAGAGATGACCACTTCCTTTGTTTCTTTTAGACATTGTCTCTTTACTTTCTTTATGTACATGAGAGGCTGTGCAACTAATTTAATTCAAGGATTATGTCAGTTACCTAAAATAGAAACATATCAGCCAGAAAAGAGGAGAAGGACAAGATGAGATGGCAAGTCAGGTGTCTGAGTAAAGCTTCTTCTCCAAGCCATCTACTTTGTCTGCTGATGATAGAGGTTACTGAGGAAAAGCAGCTTCCTAATGTCAGCATCATCCCTAGCTGCCAGCTCTGGGGCTTTTCACTTACCAAGGATAATTACAATGCTGTACTTGATCGCTTTCACCTTCGCCCTGGATATGAACCCACGACTGCTGTAGCCACGGGAGGTTTTGCCGCCTGGGAAAAGAACAGTTCAGCTAGTGAAAGAATAGGACTGGTGTGTGGATGTGTCAGTGTGTACCTTGACAGGAATACACAATCTCATCTTTCCCTGGGGTCAGTTAGGACCTCAGTAGTTCCTGAAATTTGGACACTCGCAAGTCTGCTCATGTTGGACGATCAAAACCTGAGCCACCCAAAATAAAAAAGGGAAAAAGTAAGCAGAGTAGAACTCCTTGAAGCATTGAGGCATATGCAGTCTTGGGATGGAATACTCTGATCATTTTATAGCATTCTGAGGCCAGGAATTTCTGATCTTGAGCAAAATTTAGACTTGCAAGGACATGTGAAGACACAGAAAAAGTGTTGCCAAGTATATGCTAGAAAAAACCGTTCTGGAAAAGGACAAAGTTCTAGGAGCAGGAATTCTAACTTCTAGAGTAAGTAGGTTTTACTTTTTATTCATTTTGTCACATATGTTTCCTATTATGTCTCTAAAGAGAATTTAGTGCCAAAGGAAAGAAGGTAAATAATATAGAAATGAGTTATGAATGAACAAATACAGAAACCCCATTCCCACTGCAGCGATGGGGGCCCAAAATGACATGTGCATGTCCAAGCACTCCCAGATTTGTGAGGATCAGCTGGAATTGAATCACAAAGCTGGAGTCACAGGTATGCTGAGACTCACCAGGACAGCTGGATATGATGACAGCCTGAGCTTTGCTCTTTATCCAGATGGTTCGAATCACGATTGAGTATATGACACTGCAGAAGGGGAAAAGTTGCTGGTATTAGGCACAATAAATTTAACAGACAACCTGGTCATTTGTGCTCTAAGAATATACTTGTCTATGTGTAAGGAGTTCACAGAGGTAGTGGGACTGCATAGGAGTAATAATAGTAAATGACAATAATAATAATAAATATTATATGACTCTCTCACAGTATTTTTCAGAAGATCTGAAGACTTTTCACCATGGAAGTTCTTATGGTGGTCCTGGCTTTGTAGATGTCAAATCTGAGGATCAGAGGAATGCAGTGATTTGGCCAAAGATCTTTCAGGCAAGAGCTCATTGGTGATTTTGAGCCAGCCAATGCCAAATCCATCTGAGTGTCAGCCCTGGAGAACTTACTCTGATGAGGGAAGCAAGGGAGGGACTTGGTTTTGCTGTATGTACACTTCAACTTTGCTGTTACTTTTTGGGTATGAAACTGGTGAATAAAATTTCACCTTGAGGAATTGTATGTACACTTCAACTTTGCTGTTACTTTTTGGGTATGAAGCTGGTGAATAAAATTTCACCTTGGGGAATTTGATAAGGGCAGGATCCATGAGAAATGCAAATAAATACAGCAGTGCTCAGTTTTGGGTCTCTGGGTCCACTGGTGGAAATCAGGGAGGACTGAAGTGTCAGGTAAATTGGAAGAGTTAGATTCAAGACCAGATTGAGTGTGATTCAAAACCAGATCCACCACAATTTGCATATTTAGAGAGGCTTATATACTTTCCATAGGAAAGATGAAAAGTGCCCTAGTACACAGTGACGTTGGATAGTTATGGACTTTTCCTGTGCAATAGCCAATCTGGACTTCTACTGATTTAATATAGAATAGATAAAAATAATTCCTTCAAGATGAAGAGCTGTTTAAACCTATGCCCTGCTTGAGGATGTTAATAGTCATAAACCTTAGTGGTCCTTATGTGAAAAAGGTGCAACAAAGGACATAATTTCAGGGTGTTTTATATAGGCAAAAATGTGTCTTACTGTTATGTGGCTTATTTTTGTTATCAGAAGAGGCACATGTACTTATTAGTCCTTTCAGACTGACATACGAGTCTTTGCTACAGCACCCTCAATTGCTAGAATTTGCGCTCAAAAAACTATGAAGGTTTGGAGGTTTCCCTTTCTGTGGAAGTTTGAGCCATCTGGTTTCCAGGCTCGGTAGGTGAGAGCTGTAAATTCAAGGTGCAGTCTGGGCTGTGCAGCGGAGCAGTAGTGTCCTTGCCCAGTCAGGGGTTTGCTCACATCTGCTGTGGACTACAATTTACTCTCCTTAATCCCTTCAAAAGTCCAGCTTGGCTCCCAGCTGATTTGAACATGTTCCTTTTATCTCCTGTTTTTTTCAAGAGCCTGTTTATTTAACAGCTCATACACTTGAAACTCGAGAGTTTCTTTGTGCTTTTTACAGACAATGGTGGAAAATTCACATACCGTTTCTCCTTTGATTGTTCCAATGAATCAGAATGTATTATAATGATAATTGTTGTCATCTCAAAATTTTATCAGCTCACTCTTAAAAGTCCTGTTTCTATTTTCTTCCTAGCCTGCTGTCTCTAACCTGACCTCTTTATTTGCAGCTGAGACAATGTCCTCTCTGATGCAGATTTTCCTTTGTCGAGCAGGAAACATTCAGAGTTTCTTAAGCATTAGGACAAAGGAGTCTAACTCTGTAGTCAAAATAGTCAGACTCCCTACTTTCGGCCAAATGCCATAAGGATTTGAATTATGAAGCCATGCTTCTCACTTGCTTTCCCTTTGACCCTAGAATTCCTGCCCTCTTGGCTGCAGAGTCTGGCAGGGGCATGTCTTTTGCCAGATACAGCTACATCACCTGTCTTCTCATTGGCATGTCACCTATGAGATTACATGCTGATTCATTCGAATCCTTAACTTTTAGAACTCCAGAGGAAAGCTGAATTCTTGTTTTCAGCCAGCAACTTATAAAGTGCTGCCACCATAGTGGATCTGTGTCGGTGGTTCTGCCTCTGTTCATCTTTCTTTTGTTTGTAGCTGAAGCCAGTGGAGCCTTCCTTATCAGGAGTGGACCAGAGATGGTGTAAAGCTGCTCAGGGTGGCTGTCAAAAAAGTTTACATGCTAGGTAAACTTCTGAGCAGCGCTTGTGCCAGCCACCATTATTCATTTATGATTTGATCTCTCTCAGATTCCAGTTCATAGTGGAACCCTCATAGCCTAACCCTTTTTCTTTTTTTTCCCTAGCAAGGTTGACATGGAACTGGGAAATCAGACTTCCCAGAAATGAGTTACCTAAAGCATAGGATCATAACAGGCAACTGCATGTGTATTTCAAAGCCACAGAAGTAAAAACAGGGCTCTTATGGAAGAGAAGTATTTTTCTTATGAGGGAAAATCAGCTTTTTTCAGAATACATTTGTAGCTCCTTTCTTTCTTGTAAAAGGCGGCTGGAGGAGGATGCAGAGGTTGGTCAAATGTCAAAGAAATTCTCACTTGAAAAATGAAGTGGCAGATAAGCAAAGAGTAGCAGGGAACAGATGACAAACTGGTATTCAGAGGAGTGTTTGGAAATAGTTTGCACCATTCCAACCATATCCTAATTTCCATTCCCTTCCTCTGGACTCTGAACTGCTCAGCCTTCACTGCCAAGATGTAAAAGCACGTGGTAAACACTGCCACAAATCTTGTTTTTTACCCCATGTGGCACGCCTGCATGCTGCTTGCCCTTGTCTCCACTGAAAGCTCTGAGAGATGTGATGTGCAGCTCTTGAGGTCCAGGTGTTGTCAGGCTTCTTTGTGTCTGTAAGTGCTCAACGCACTGATCTTCCAGCCCAGGTTGTAGGTGAGAGACTAATGAAAGGGTACGAAGGTGGAAAAGTCAAACCTGGATAGAAAATTCATCCAAGCTGTTCTGAAAAGTAGCTGCTCAGGCTTTGAAGACCACAGGATAGAAAGGACATGCTGTTGATCTGAAAATGTGATGATTTTTCTAACCCTGATAAAGTGCATGTCTTGAGAGGTGGGAGGGAAATACAGAAATATGGCTCACATTACGGGCGTATCTCAGAAATAAAATTCTTTGCATCTCCAAAACCAATTTAGCTTGATCCAAATTCTAAAGCATTGAAAGGCTTGTTCATCATAACCTGCTATTAGTTAATGGTGTTGTTTAATATGCCTCATTGGTAATTACAGCATTTTCATCCATTTAAATATAAAACTTATGGTTAGTCATATAAATGTAACTGTGAATAATCACACCCCATCTGTATTTTTAATTCATAGATCTTTTTTTTTTTTTTAAATAAAATGGCTTCTGGTAAAGCTATGTACAGATATTAACAATCATACTTGTTATTGATCTACCCACTCTTTAAATGTAGATTTTTTGGAAATAAATAATTTCACTCTAATGGCGTCCCACACAGCCTCAGTATTTTCTAGTAAAATGCGCCTTTACCATGACAAAAATGCACTTAAGCTCTCTGTTAATTACTTCTATTTATCATCCAGTATTGCCTATTGTTCCTTATGCTTTATTTGTGCAAAGTGATGTGGCTGTTTTGTTTTATGGCAGCTAATTTACAGCATTGTTTGTCTTAAGAGAAAAGTAACCTCGTCTGAACAAACCATTGCAGGCACGTGTAATGGGTGAGTGAAGAGACGGACAGATACTAGAATGTGTGTGCAAGAGCCAGGGTTTTTATTTAGAAATGGAAATTGCAAAAAAGAATGGCCTCACTGAATCAAGTTCAGAAAATGACCTTTGGTATTTTTATTAATGGCATTTCCAGTCCCTTTATTTGATTTAATTCAGAAAAATATATTTTATTTAATCTATTTTTCATTTCATTGCAATGCCTTGGGTTTAATTCCATATTTTTCCTTTTAGCTGATTTTGTTGTTGTTTTTTTTTTTTCCTCTTCTAATTATTTTTAAGCTGATCCAAAGCAAATGTTCTCTTTGGAGTTCAGATTTTAAACAGCAGATGGATATCTTTTTCCTCTGTGCTTCAAGAGGAGCTTTAGCAATTTTTTTTTAAACATGAGTTTGCAATTATATTAGGTAAATGTCTATGTATTATATTTATAATATTAAAATATAAAAAATATATTTAGCAAGCATGAATAACAGCTAAAAACCTCCGAATTTCTGGATACTTAAGCGCCAGAACATAATTATGGTTTGGCACAGAGTAGCAATGCAGACTGGAAACACAGTAGCTCTTCTGCCTCCCCATTGCAGGTTCTGAGGGGCCCAGGTACCAATATTTGCAGGAGAGCAGTGTGTAATCATGATTTGAGCCATATTTAACCTCTGTTCAACAGTGCCCCAGAGGTTTTCAACAATCACTGATACCATTTGATCTTTGCTTGGTGTATTTCGGAATGGGAGAAAAGGCTTTGGTTATAGCTGATGACACTTCTCCCAGAAGAGGAGAGAACTAATTACTGCAGGTTCCCACATTACTTTTTTTGAATCTTCTGCAGTTTCATAGGTTGATAATATTAACTGTAGAAGAAGTGGTAGAATAATGTAAATAGGAGAGAAGAGGACAAATTTTTAAGCACTGTATAGAAATGCCTGACTCAGGACCTGTGGTTCTTCTTGTACAATGCTGAGACAGTGGGAACAAGGGAAGTTTTAATATGAAAAGAACAAATATTCTCCACTTTTTTCAGCTCTCAAAGATATCCACACACTTGGGTTAAAAATACCAATCATAGCTTTTCATTTTCTTTTCATTATTCAGGTCTTGTTCATTGGTATTATAATCAGATAAAAAATCTTGCTGAAAAAAACACAAGTTCTTTGGTAACTGATTGCTGATTCTCTAGTTGTGAAGAAGTGGTAGGAATAAACCTCAGAAGTATTAAGGTCTTTCAGACTGTTGCAGTTTTCTTCATAAATTACCTTTCTATACATACATTTAAAAAAAAAAAAGCAGGGGGTGAGGGGGAGAGAATGCTGTGTTCTTCTGGTTCATGTTTTGGCTTGGAATCTGTAGAGTTGCTTACACCACATCTGGGGGTTTAGCTTGTCAGTGGAAGGGTTTTCCATGGTGAGCATAAGGTTATCAGCTAAATAATTCATTCCATGAGCTGCAGTGTTATGAATAACACAACTCCTGTGAGTTAGTTGAGGACTGTGAGGAACACGTGAGATCAGCTCCACAGAGAGAGCTGAGGGCTGGATGAGAGCAGCTTAAAAGGTGATGGTGTCTGAACTGTAACAAGTGAAAACAGATCAGCCAAAGCAGCATATCTAGTGTGGAATTAACTCCTGCACCTGAAAAGTAAGATTTTATCCTTTGTATGCACTTCAGATGAACAGCACCAGAAAAAGTGCTGTCATCAGTGAACTGCTTTGCTCTAGAGGTTAGGTTTTCAGCAGATTCAGGCAGCAGAACTAATTAAGAATTAACTCTGCCAGCCAGTGTCCCACATTGCATCAGACACCTGCCATGCAGCTAAATCAGACTGCTTCAGCAGAGAAAATAAAGTAGCTGCGCAAACAATATGAATTCTTGCAGAAAAGGTTTTATTTTTTTCTCTCTGTGCAGCCTGCCTCACTTCCTCATTAAGTGTGGTGTATGACTTAGCTTCTGGCTTATATGTATTCATGGCTTCTTCTACTGATCCTTGACCTTTCAGTTACACATTTATGGATCTTCTCTCCATTTTTATGTCGTGGCGTTTTTTAAATAACATTTTTGGCTAAAGGTCATTAAATTTTTAAAAAATGCCTTCCTCGATTTATTAAATAACACCTTTCATTTTATAAATAATCTCTTGTCAGAGTAATACACCACTGGAACATATGTGATTTCTCTCACCCTTACGAAACAGCATCTTGTTTATCATCAACCGTCCTATGCATCAGAAAGTATTGGGGGGAACAAAATTTTTACAGAGAAACCACATCCCTGGGGGTGTTAACAGCCATTCCTGCTGTTCTTGAGCCACAAACTGCTTACCAGAGTGTTTGTATGCTGCAGCCACATCAGGTGGATTAGCTTCAAACTCCTGGACTGCCAATGATTTTTAAAGAAATAGATGTTACACCTTCAGGCTGCCAGATCTTTTACAGATATATCAGCTGGGAAGTTGCAACCTTCACTTTTATGCTTGAGACTTAAAAAAGTGTTCTAAAAAATATCCATTTCCTTCCAAATTGCTTGGCTTTTTTCATAATGTCTATGCTGACCTTGTCCTGATGCTAATCCTCTTTTTCTGTGGTTTTAGACAATCCTCTCTGTTCTGAAGAAAAAAGTATCACTAACAACTAGAAATAAATAAACACAAAATAAATCCTTCCCTGCACCACTCCCCTTCCTTCATTCCAGTGCCAGACACCACTTTGGATCTGTCAAAAATCTGACTTCTGCTGGCAAGGACACAGGAGCATTTGTGTTAATAAACAGTGAAACCAGGAATGTTTCTGGGCAGGTGATGGACACTGCGCTGCCCCTGGCTCCAAAACCAGTGGTTTTAGCTCCTGTCCTGCCATAAACTTCTTGTGTGAATGTTGCTTAAGGTTAAAGCCGCAAAAATTTTAGTATGTTTTATTCATGTCTAAGATGTCAGGGCAATCTCATGAAATGCCAGTTTCACTGCCTTTCTCTTTCCCCTCATGTCTTCATCACCTTCTTGCTTTTGGGGATTTACTGTAAAGTAAGTCACAGAGCTGATCTGGTTTGAATATCTTTCTTTGGCAGGGAGGAGGGGAGCAAAATGTCAACAGCTCTGAAATATTTATTGCTCTGTAGCTTGCCTTTTCTTGCCAAACAAGTATAGATGGCATGTAAAAGGAGTGGCTGGTCTGTAACAGAAACCATGCAAATCTGTATGCTAGAGTGTGAAAGAGATGTTTCACACACCTGTGGAATGACTGGTAACTGGGCAGGCTGTGGGTTTTTTTTTTCCTGAAACACTTAAGATGTTGGCTAGAATTTCCAACTGCTGCCTATTTGAGAAAGCTCATAAAAGAACCCCTTTCACGGTAACAGCCAGCCTCAAAGTTTTCTAGTGCCATTTCTTTTCACTGTTAAATTGCTTTTTGTCAGTGCAGTGTATGTTTGTTGTTTTTGCTGCTACTGCTGGGCTGCAGATCTAGCCACATTTTTATTTACATATTCCCAAGAATTTTTTTTTTTTTTTTTGTATATTGAAAGCCAGGCTGTTCAGAGACAGGAAAACATGCAGATCCCACCTAGGAAGGATAACTTGGGAGTAGTTTTTTCTTTCTTCTCATCCTTTTCTTTAAGGAGAACTTTCTTGGTTTTTTTTTAAATTATATCTATGCAATCTGGCACAATAAATTGAAGATTTAGTGAACTGACATGTTATGAGCAATGTGTAAAAATCATCTCTTCTTTCTAGGGAGCAACACTGGTCCATTTTGAATCTGTATCAAAAGGTCAGCTAGATGAGTTCAAGCACCACATGGTTTTGATTCTATCAGAGATAAACTTGTTGTCATTAAAAGCTGCAGAACTTAGTCTCTGTGACAAAACAGTAATAAACTTCAAGGTTATGTAGTCAGTCCTGTCATCATCTAGAAGAGATCAGCCTCTGCCCACCCCACTCTCACCCAGGGTACTAATGAGCAGGACGCTGAGGGAGACTCATGGCTCATCACTTGTTGGAAAAGCAGGTGGACCAAGAGATAAATCCAAGGGACATTGCAAAAATACTTCTTCTCTCAGAGTCCAAGCAGCACCAAATTATGGGGGGAAAAAAGGAGTCCCAGCAAGTCTTTCTTGCTGCTGACAAGGAGAGATGGACACCAAGAAATACGATTGTAACCTTGCCAGTGAAAGAAAGAAAAATAATGTCTCTGAGAACTGTCACTGACACTGGCAGCATTTTGAAGCACTTAGTATTGTTGGCCGGGGGCTATGAACAAATCACGGACAGGATGGGACTGGTAGAAACGTGTCTTGAGCTGTTTTATTTTCCATCATCAGTCTCATTACATGGTTATGACAATGGGAAGATGCCATCAGCTCACATCTCAGGCAGCAGAATAAGAACTTAATGTTACAACTTACTTTAAAAGTTTTTTGACACAAAGCAAAAGCATATTGACAGTAGTTCTATCTAATCACTATAAGCACATGTACTTTTGGTTAAAATAATGCTTGCCTATTTTGAATACAATACTTGCTTGTAAGCCTTAAAACACAATGCACAGAGCTCCATTGTTAAGCTTAGAACTTCTTCATATCTCACTAGATATACTTTTTTGAAGCTTAGGGAGTTTTAGCTAAGCGTTAATACGCAGAGCATTGTTCTATTTGTCCTTACTTTTCTACTTACATAATTTGTCTGCTGACCAATCTTATGGCTACTGCTTAGCTCTAATCACAGTTCTGCTGTCTCTGAGGCTTGCTTTTTTGCATCTTTTTAAAACTCTTTGATTTTATGAATTATGAATTTCCACAGTTAGGAAGCTTCACTGCCCTTCCACATCTGGTTTTGACTGCTCTTTTGCATTGGTGGCTGCTCATGGCTTGTTACCTTCTGTTTCAGGGCAGCTAATGGCAGTGCTCTAGAGGGAGGCTGAGCACTAAGCACAGTCTGCGATATTTATTGACCTCAGTTTAATACAGTTTCTGCAGATTGTGATTTGAGGCAAATCAGTCTCAAATATCTGCAGCTTAGGTTTCCTATTACAAAACAGGAAGAAGTACATTTGTTCATATTTTAGGAGTAGTTGGCAACTTCCGCGCTTGGAGATTTCTTTCCAATCCTGTTGAAGGAACCCTTGTTGAGTACTGTGAAGCTTAAGAGCACTTCAAGTTAATTTTAGTTTAATTAGTGTTAAGTGCAGTTTCCTGTTCTATTAAAATTATCTTTAATAATGGATAAAAATTATCTGTAATAATGGATAAATATTCATACTGGGTTTATAAAGATATCTTTCAAGCCTGAAGCTGTGGAGATAAGTGGACACACTCAGAGATTTGTTCCTTTTTTCAGAGAAAATGTTTCTGGCTGTTGATACCACACAGAGAACACCCAGGGCAAGTACAATGACCCGTGTATTATGTGATAGAAACTAAAACAGCTATGCAGCAGGTATGGAAATGAAATTGTAATGAATTACTAGAAATTAAAGCATTAAGCTGATTGCACACTTGACAGCATTCACCACACATTTGCTGACTGGGCTTCAGACTTACCTGATAATGATCAGAGGAATGAAATACACCAGGAAAGCCACAACCGTCATGTAGGGGATCCAGTAGGAGTCATCAGGCCAGAGAGCCCAGCACTGCACTTCCCCATTGGAGAGCTGCCGTTTCCCAAAAATAATCAGAGTGGGTATGGAAAACAGGAAGGAAAGGATCCAGGCCACTCCAATAAGCACTTTTGCCTGCCTTTCTGTGTAACAGAGTCAAACAGACAGTGTCAGTGGGGTTGTTGGTGCCAGTGAACCCTTGCAGCTCTATTGACAGAAAGGCATGAGAGGAGAAGGAACTTCTGTAAAGAAAGGGAATTTTAGGCTGCAGCTGGCTGGTGCTGAAAAGACTTCAAAGGAGAAAAAGGATTTCCTCTCTTTCTCATGATAAATTGTCATACCATTAGGAGCTTGTAATTTGCAAGTTTTATTCAAGGATGCTTAGAGCCTGTTGAATCTAAAACACTATGAGAAAGGCACTGGTCAGGGTCAGCAAGTCAGAAATATGAAATGCAAATGGTACCTCTATGCCACCGAAAGAACATCGCTTATGGATGTGAAGGACCTCAGACCTGCCCTACTGCATACCTAGTGATGCACCTTGAAGTGAGAAAGATTGCAGAACATTTCCTATGAGGAAAAAGAAAATGCCTCAGTTCAGGATCAGAACAAGACTGCACAACTAGCTGCCTTTACCTCCATCTGGAGTTTTACTGTCCCAAAGAATCACGGGCCTGAAGAACCTGGGCATGTCCTGCCCTTCTCTGTATGATGGTGGGGATGAAATTTAGCTCCTGTTGATGAACCCAAGCCATGCCAGGAGTGGACTGCTAACCACGAGACAGGGCAGATGGCAATGCTCAAGTGCCCAGCCCCGTTTTATCTGCTGCAAAATACAGGAACTGGGACATCCTGCTGGACTTCATGGTGAAGAACAGGAGCTAAAGGACCCCAAAACCTCCATCAGGTTTGCGTTACTGCATCCTCTTGATTTCTGGCCACTGCCAAGAGAGGAAAAGCAAGTGGGAAATTAAATGATGTCTGGTGGCACCCATTTGCAAATATCTGGGTTGGAGCAGAAAGTTCTAAGGCTTTAATTTTCAAAAACCTGCATCTTCTGGCTAAAATCCAGTTAGCTCTAGCTGAAAAGTGTGGGGGAAAAGGGCTTATCCATGGAGTACCCATGATTATCAGTGACACTTATTCCTCCTCAGCCAGATTGCAAGAGGAACATATGGGGACAGATTTTTTTCTTTTTAATCTGGGAGCTTTAGTGTTCAAATACTTTATTGTCCTAAAAAATACCCGAGGTTGTGTGTGAAATAGAAAACCACTTTAAATTATGCATATCAAGAAGAATGTCTTTCCTCCTTGTAGCTCAAAGAGCAATAAAAAAGCATGTGGGCGAAACATTCAAAAAGTAATTTTATGCTTTATAAAACATCAGTTGCAAATACTCAGTTATCCTGCTCATTTTTAAATGCTACCCACGTTCAGGAAAGTATGGTCTTGCTAATCTAGGGCTTAAGGGAACTCTGATGACATCTGCATAAGTGAGAGGGTTAGATTAAGGCTATAAATATTGTACAGGCAAAAGAGAACTGTGAAATTTCCCAAAGCATAACAGAATAAACTTAGCAAAAGGAATATTAAAAATAAATTAAAAAAAAATTTCTTCACAGAAAGGACATTTCAAATGTGGCTAACTACTTACTTGAAATCATGCAAGCTTCAGTGTTTTTCTAACTAAAAGAGATCAGAGCTGGAAAAGAAACCTTATTTTTTTGTACTGTATTTTGAACAGAACTGGGCAATTTGGGTTGGGCAAGAGCAGAATTTCTTTGTTTCATAACACTTTTCCTGCAATGTTAATTTATTTTTATTTTTAAGTGTCCCTTGAATTTGGTAGAATATAGCCTTGCTAGTCTAAAGGGCTTTACAGGGCACTGATTGGTAAGCAGATTTTTGTTTTGTTGGGATAATGTTAATTTTCTGCCTCGCCAGCAGGGCTTTTTTTATGCTGCATTTTTAATAGTTGCTCTAATATGCTCAAAATGCCAGCAAATCCCATAACTAGAGCTGTATCAGTTATGAATGAAATCAAACAAATGACTTTTGAAATACAATATTCCATTGAACCAGTCTGAGCATTTTCCTTGAGAGCTTTTCAAACTGTGGTGGCCAAGACTAACTCCCAGGGTTGGAGTAGGAATCTCAGCTGCGAGCTCTGGCTCTGACTCTCCTAAAAGACGTTTCCTTGTGACTGTCCCCTTCATGTGCTCCCACCATCCCTGCACTGTGGCAATGGGTTTGAGTAGATCTCTCTGCTCCCAGCAATATCGGACAGGGGGGCACCTCTTGGAAGGAACTTTGCTTCCTGCCGTCAAGAATGTCAAGGCTGTGCAATCCTCTGATAAATTGAGTGCCACATTAAAATTAGGTTTTAAATCCAGAGAGAGCAGAGCTGTTCCAGAACCTCAGTGACTGCACTGTTTCCAGCCTAAAGCCACACAAGGATCAATTTACACCTTTTTGGGTTTTGTCATTTTCTTGGGCAGTTCTTTTTTCACCTGTTGTTTATTTTCATGTTGTTTGCATATACCTTTCCAACATGATGAAGTATTCATAAAATATTTTCTGCTATAACTTCTCAGTTTCTTTTCTTTTTGATATTTATTTTACAATTTTTTTTCTTAATACCCTTTTGGTTGTAGAATTAGGTGTCTCATAATAAAAGCTTTAGGATTAAAAGGTGTATTTCTTTCCTATAGTGCAATTTCTCTGATTATTTATCTTTTTGAGAAGTAAAAAATATTCAGCTCTTAAAGTTTGTTTTCTTAAAAACCGTGCAAAGAACAGCTCATTGCAAATACTTTTTAACAAGACTTGAGGTTAGTAACTAAACCACAATTTTAAAAAATTGTATGATATTTTCAAAGTAGAATGTTTGACTTTTTTTTTTTCTTCTAAAATGATATTTCAAGGCTATATGGAAACATAATTTTTCAAATCAATAAGAAGAAAGAACCCTTTTGTTTCTTGATTGAAGGATTTTGGAGGGATGAGTGTTTCATTTTGCAAAGAAATTTGCCACAGGTTGACTCAGAACTATTCATGAAGTTCCTCTGTGTCATCACCAATGACAAAGGTTTGTAAATCTCTTTGTTCTCCATCTGTAGAATAGCTAAGAGGGCATTTCAAAAGCGTCCCACACGTCACCTCTGCAAGGAATACCTGGGTGTAAAAGGTGATTATTTTATGTACATTCCAGAAAGTTGCTATGTTAAATATACCTCTCTAGAGCCTTCTTTTGGATTTACAGCTCTCTTCCTTTTTCCTATGAACATGCTCTTTGCTTGTGCATCAGTGTGTAGCCAGACCTTGCAAGAGGCAGATGGGTTTTGTCAGTGTTCTCTCTGCTTGTGACCTTTTTCCCCTGACCAGAGCTGCACCCAGCTGATGATTTTGCTACTCTCAACTGGACCAACATCTGCTTTTCTCCAGTTAAAAAAAAAAAAAAATCAAACAAAAAACGTCTATGGTCTATGTATAGGAAATGGGATTTTAAAAAGGCTTTTGCAAAGATTTGAAGTGTTTTTTCATCAGTTCTTTTTCAACTTCAAAGTATTTTTCAAAGATTACCCATCAAATTCTTTTCTATACCCAAGCAGTAATTTAACAAGCACTGCTTTTCCTGTACCATGAATTAAGAAGAAATGCCAGTGGGTCCATCACACAGCTCATCCTGCTCAGCCAGCAGGTTTATGAGCCCCCGCCCTGCCTGGTTCATGAAGGAGCTGTAGAGCAATGCCACCCTCCCAAACCCTGCTGGGAAAACCTTGATATCCATCTCCCTGCATGCTGGGGAACATAAAGCTAAATATCACACAAGGTTTTGAAGCTTTCAGAACTTAACATCTGCCTGTTAAAAGCTGTGCCACTGTCTCAGCTGTGATTGACTCTCAGGTTTTTAAGGCCAGGAAGGACCATTAACCTGATCCCCTGAATAGAGTCGTCTGGCAAAAGCCATCATTACTCCAAAACAAGAATGATATTTGCATCTGATTAAAGCACATCCTCCAGACCTCACGGTTCTTGTAACTGTTCTTCTTCCTCCCCACCTGCAATTTCTGTTTCTTCACTCAGTGCAATGTACTTAACGCCCCACTTTGGCTCTGTGGGAAAGAAATAATTTTGTTTAAACTGTACTGCTAAGAGGCCAGGACTTATCTGAGTGCTGTAAAAAACCCTGAAACCAAACAAACAGAGGAAATGATAAGAACAACAGATATCCAAACTTATATGCTATCTCTTTTGAAGATATATCAAACTGTTGTGTGAATTCTCAGTACACCCTCCATCCAAATTATTTTTTAATGTGAATAAATAGATAGTATAGGTGTTGCAGCTCCTACAGTCAGTATAGTGGAACAAGGGACAGTTTTTGCCCGTTAAAACCTTCTAAAAGTGCTGGAATATAATGAAAACCATTACACTTTTTAAAATGTCATTTCATTCTTTGCTAACACAATACTTATAAGAGCTGCTGAGGGCTAAGTGGAGTTTAATAAATCTTGAAACCACAGCTACTTCGTCCTTTGGAAAACTGCAACAGAGTTCAAATGTAGCTAAATCAGGAATGAATAATTCATAGCAAAAAAGGTTAAGAATTTTGAGAACTAAAAAATTATCCAATAATGTCTACAGCAATAACAAGGTACTGAAATTCTCCTACCTCCTTGCAAGAACTTCATGGGGTAAACTATGGCATGATACCGGTCTATGCTTAGTGACACGAGGACGTAAGTGGAAGCATAGAGAAGGACCACCTGGGGCAGAAAGTACAACAAGACAACAGTTGAGACACATCTATTGCAGAAGGTGATGTCAGCAAGAACTCTGAACTAGGAATATTTCAAAACTTACTGAAAAATAAAAAAAAAAAGGACCCCCCCCCCCCCCCCCCCTTCCTTGTATATTCACCCAGGTATTTTTGCTTTTTCCTGTCCACAAAATTTAAAATATTTAACATGCTTTAATATGTTTGACCTTTAAATGAACGTTTTCAACATTTGCACTTTTGTTACTCGAAAAAATTCTACACAGCGTTTTTGTCAGAATTTACTGCTATGAGGGCACAAAGCATGAGGTTTTCATACCTGGAAGTAGCGAACGACCCTGCAAACGATATCAGGGGCCATAAAATCTCCAGTGTAGCGCCAAATGATGTCAGTCATTATGTTGATGAGTCCTGTGAATGAATCTACAAAGAAATTAAGGGAATAAGCACTGGAAGAAGCAAATACATGACTTCAGGTGAACCACAGAGGCAGGCAGGACCCTCAGGATGTATGAGCTCCCCAGTCTAGGGGCAGTCAAGCCATGACCACTCAGCCCAGTATGCCAGAGGTGCTGGGAAAGCCTCTGAAAACACGTCATAATTAGTGTCTAAGTGTGTCAGCTTGATTACAGCTGTAACAAATACTGAACCACTAAAAGTCCTTTATTCTTTATCTGTTATTTCACTTTAAGAAGTCTCCTGTGAAATTACCTGGAGTGGCAACGAAATGCTGCTAAAGTTAGTGGAAATTCTGTCAGGAGTTAATTTGTGAACTTAATTAATTAATGACTAACTGTGCCTTGTCAGCTTGAAGTTAACCTACTTATGCCTGTACTTTTATATTTGCCAAATAAAATACACCTCAGGCTATTTCTTCTTTTTTCTTCTTTTTTTTTTTCTCCTGCAATAAAATCTAAAGAGGTATTCCAGTCTTTTTTCTGTTTCTTATTGAACAAGTGAGTGCTCACAGAGATGCAAGTTTTACAAATGAATCACAAGAACTGGTACTCTTGTTTTACACACAGGTAATATTAAGTTTTGTCTTTAAAACCAATTTCTCTCACTTGGACAAGATAAATGTTTTCAGTGCAGTCCATGGAAGAAAATGTGTACCAGTCCAATGTTCTGCCACTTCAAGTAATGTGTCACGTTGCTCTTCTTGCACAGATTACCACAAAGGGAGAAAAAGGTTACGAAAATTTTCATGCCATTTTCCAGGACAAAATCAAGCTATATGAAGAAAGAGCTTCATCTATATTATAATACATAAATAAAGGGTTTCATTTGCTACCACCATTTTACACATTGAAAACCCATCATTAAAGTTTAGTGTGATAAAGATATTTTAACCCCTATATCAGAAGACTTTGGTTTGAAATTTATGCCTTTGGAAACAAGACATCTCAATAATTAAAAAAAATGTTTGGAGAAATAAACAGTTTGCGGCACTATTTCCAAGCAAATAGGTGTGTGTTTTGCAAAATAGATTTCTTCTAAGCCCTTTGAAATTCCAGAAATTCAGATATTTCTAGTTGGAAATTGAGATTTCAGCTTAATGCTTCAGAAAAAGCAACTTATTTTGCTTCACTGGAAAATCAGGGTTATTTTTTCTGTATCAGTAGTCCTTTATCTCCTCATTTTCTTGTTTCATTTATCTTCTCCTTCAAGGCTTAGTGCAAAATTAAATTAGTGTAACTACATTGCCTCCCTCCTTATGACTACTGTTCAATTAATACTGGTTTGCTCTTTATTCTCGCAGCATTTCCCAGCCCCATTTTCCCTCTCTTCTCTCTTCCCCTACCTCCAGAGAGAGGCTGGATCAGAGACAATCTCCAGAAAGAAGTCTGTGGTTTGAAATACTATGTTAAATATTGTCCATTGATTAGGGGGATGGGGTAAGGAATGATTGTTTCTCTGATGAGTACAGTGGCTTTAAGACTTTACGGAAAAGACTGTAGGTATATAATTAAGGTGGTCTTTGAAAAAAACACACAGTTTAAGTGTTTCAAAAAATGAAATGCATCCTCCAGCAGTGGTTCCAACTGATCCCTTTCCCTTTCTTTACTCCTGAATTATTGATTCATATTCTTTCTCTCTACAGTAATGAAATATATATTGCTTCAAAGTATTACACATCAATAGAGCTTCACCTCAGGGCATCCTCCGGCTTTTGATGGTCTGAGCATCTGCCAAGCAAGTGCTAAATCAGGGTTCAGCTTTCTTCAGGAGGGGGAGGGTGCAGAGGCTGCCCTCCCTCCTGCCAATGTCAGTGCTCTGAAGAGGAAATGGAGGGAGAAAGGACAGCCCCTCAGCACCTCGGCTGTCTCCTCATTCCCCTCTTCTCACGGCCAGCTTCCTATCTCTTTTCAATGCATCAGAGAGTCCCTAAGAGGTGCATGCTGCAGCTGTGGTGGGAGATGGGACAGCATGCTGGTGGTTTCCTTCAGGTAAGAAATTTGGCAGTCCCAGACAACACACTTCCAGCTTATACCCACGTCAGCTTTTTAGTTTGCATCAGGAGTGTGATTTTTAACCTGTGATGCAGATCCACAGGGAAATGAGCCTTTGTTTGGATGATGCTCAGCCCAAAAGTACTCTCCAGAGTTGCCCTCCATGCATCCCACACCATGCAGCTACCAGCCAGTGCTCAGGCTCAGGAACCATGGCGAAGTTTATGCAGCAGAAGCAGATCCCTCTCCGGAAATACAGAATGTGGATATCAGCTCTGTCTTTTCCATGCTACAGGTCTCTACCCACTGTGTGTCATTACCTACAAATATATCTATAGCCTTAAGTACTTCAGGAGCTTTAAAGACAACTCAGAATTGTCATTCCCTTGAGAGCCATTGAGTGAGGCTTTTCAGGTGGCTGCAGAGGCTTTTAAATGAGGTTTAAACTTCACAGGTTTTTTTGTGCTGGCAGCCTCAGCTCCTCTCCCCCAGCAGTATGTTTTAAGAGCTCCCTGTGCTGAATTTCAGAATTGCTGTGGAGGGCTTGGCATGAGCCTCTAAGCACGTGCCCCTGAACACAACACACACGTGTGTACCAAAGCCAATGCACCCAGCTGCCTGTGTGGGCCAAATTTAGACAGATTTCTCAATGCTCTTTAATTATAGAAACATTCTCCCACTCAATGCCCTCATGCCCTCCTCAGGTTTTAGAAATATCTCTTGTCTTTTCAATCCTAAAAGTACCAGACTAACTTTTCTCAGAGTATCCTTCAGTCCTCTGCTGCCTACTCCAGAGAGTGTTTCTTATCCCATCTCTGCAAAGGACCAGGCTCTCTCAGTATGACCACATATGTCTCGAGGATTTGTCCTGCAGATTTTGCATAGGGCCACCAAATAAATAATGTGCTTTGTGCTGGTGATCACACAGCATGAAGGGAAAATGCAGCAAACCTACAAATTATGACAAAGGATTGCTATATACTCTCCAGAGACACAAGTACCTAGCGCAGAGCTTTATTAGTGATTTAGACACTAAATGTGCTGCTCATTAATCTGTTCTCTTATGCTCATCACACCTTCAATAACTATACTTTATATTTTTCACACCTTCACAGCAGTTTTTCTTGCAAGCCTCTTTTTGCACAAAGCCCTAACATGCCTGCACTATAAACCTGGTACAGAGATAATGAATTGCCAGCACACCTTTTGCCACTGGTAGATGAATCCTTCTCACCCTTGTATCATCTCAGATGCAATTATAATCATGACCACAGCATCTTGAAATCCTCATTTGCCATGTAATTTGAATTGCTGTAGTAGAGGTCCGTGCATGGAAGTCAGCTGGTTTCAGCAATGATCTCAGCAGATCACACATTCCCTGGCTGTTTTTGGCAAGCTTGCACCTCAAACTGTGTCACTGGATTGCATCATTGCCATCCTAAGTGGTGAATGTCAGGCACACAAAGCTGATATAGCAAATACCTTGCTCTAAACCTCAGTGTCCTCATTACTTTGAGTATCCTCACCACTCCTTAGGCAGCTGGTGGCTCAAGTGTTAGATATTGGTGTTCTTTCACCGATGAGTGCTCCTGGGCCAAATGGCACCAAGATAATTTCTGAAAACTGTCCTAAACAGCCTTCACTCACAACTGTGTACAAGCTTGTCATTGCCACTGCCTTCTTAACAGTCTTCTGAATTTTTTTACCAGGCAGTGGTGTGTTTACTGTGGCACTGTGCCAGCATTGCTAGGCAACCGTGGGGTTATAGACTCATTTAATTGATCAGAAAAATAGGCAGAAATTCAATTAATGAAATATATTCTCTTCTGATACAAAATAAAGATGCCAGCAAGTGAGAATTTGTGACTTTTAAGTCAAATGTATATTCAAAGAAGGATAAAGATTAAACAATTCCTTGTTGAAGAGAGAACATGGCACTAGTATGATAGGGAGGGAAAAAGTTTGCTCTTGAGGGAGAGTGGATTTTCTATAAACAAATGTAAAAGAAAAAATCCATGAGATTTTAATAATACTAAAAAGTAAAGGGAGGTACAGAGTAAAGATACCTTTGCCTGGGCAGAGGGAGGGAAGAACAGCTTTGTGGGGTTTGTGCAACTGGACAGGTCTGCAAACTTTTATCTGCCTCCTCTCTGTTGACACCATGGCCACAGCCAGTCTTCAAAGGCAGAGCTAGTGTCTGCAATTACAAACCTGTCAGCATTTCAAAATGCAGCACTTTTAGACAGCATTTATCAAAAAGGCCAAGAAAATGCCTGAGAAGGAGAAGCACCCTGTTGTTCCCAGAGGAGACAGAAACATGCTGAATATAAAGCTACAGCATCTGTCTTTGGGAAATATGTCAGGTACTGAAACAACCTGTGAAAATCCTGGGTCCTAAAGGCCAACATAGCTCAGGTTTCCATCATTTTAGCAAAATGCCTTTGGATTTTGGATGAGTGCAGGCATTGCCTCTATGCTTTTGAACCCAGGAACCACTTGGTTCAGGAGATGATTGCAGTAGCTTGGGTAGTGGGTGCTGCCTCATATGACGGATCTCAGATATATAAAAAAGAAATCACTGCCCTTGGAGGGACAAATCTGAATGTCAGCTTGCTGTTGGTGTGAGAGAAACAAATTTTTGTGCCAAAAAGCCCTCCACAGAGAAAGAAGTTCATTATATAAAGCAAAGGGAGGTAATTAGCAATCTGGCTTGGGAATAGACAGGTTACAACTGTCTCAGATAATATGTTCATAGAAATTCATTGACGTGATGGTATTGCCAAAAAGATGTACCTGTGCAGACTTTAGGATATTCCTTTTGTTACAACTAAGGAGGTTCAGACAAAAAATCTGCACTAGCAAGTCTACAAGAAAATATCTCTATCATTTTATTATTACTACTGACACCACTCTTCCCTCAAGACACTTACCCTGAGGTTGAAAGTCTTTTCTGTCAGAAGAGGAGAGCAGATT